CAATTAACATAAAGAAAACTGGATCAAACGATGCAGCGATTCCCCGAGGGGTCGGTACTCAAAAAGGCAGTGGGTGGCAACAGGTGATTTATTTGAGAATGCACTTCCAACTTCATTCTTTGAAATTATATTACATTTATTTAGTGGAAAATTATAAACAAAAATCAACCAATAATTTCTTACAACTTAAACATCAATGAAGGTTAAGTTAATCTGATTTCACAAATTCAAAAAGTGGCCAAAAAAACATTTTAAACCCTCCCGTTGTCACAGTTGAAATTTGGCAAACAAAACATATTTCCACCAGACCCACACAGTGTGCTCTTAATCCCTTAATCAATGTGAGGGTCCAAAGGTTAACAGACCAATCACTTTTCTAAACACTTTTCCAAGAGTGAAATGAATTACAAATTTACATAACAAAACTAAGGTTAGTATATTTTTACTGTTTTATAGAAAAACAAAAATGAACATTTTTACACCATTACATAAACATTCAACAAAAATGAACATAACATATTCCAGTTAGAAATATCCCAGTGGGGATGTTAAGATGATTTTTAGTATCATTTGCTTGGACAACTTTAGGGCTGTTGTGAATTTAGGTATTTGGTCAGAAAGTAAACTCAAACATGCATTGAAATTTTAACCTGATTAAAGTAGATGAAAATCAGGGGGTAACCAAAGCTATCAAAGAATTCAACTGCATCAGACCAAAGACTAGCCAACAGACCAAAACTTTCACTGATAGGACAATACTACCAACACAGCTAAAACAATGTCGACATGCAGAACTATTCCCAAGACATTAGGTAAATCCTGCAAAAAACCCCTGTGTTTAATACAGATTAAATAGTGACCATAAAGTTATTAAGAAAGTGTTTACTAAGGTCATAAATTAATTAAACTTAATTGCTCCCTCCTGGCTTTTAGAAACAATGCAGGTTCGGTGCAGTTCTGCATTAACCTTACTGTTAAGACCTAGAAGTTATACTATGTATAATGTATACTGTAATATGTATACAGTAACTGACTACCAATCCCAAAACAAGGAAAAAAGAAGAAGGCTGCACTGCTAATGTGACTAGACCATACATGACTCAGAATTAGAGAAGGGGAAAATATTTTACACATAAAAGATAAGCAAACGAGTAAAAAGCTTTACGTATAAAATTCTTCCTCTTCAACATAAAGCTGAATTGTAGTGTTTCTGTTGTCTGGACCAATGCATTCAGTCATAGGGAAAAGGAAGTTTTACGGGATTCTGGGTAGTATGCAGTCATGTGTTTATGATAACTTTTTGCAGTATGATTATCCAAATGTG